AATGAATAATTCTCTAATTGATCTTCTTTTTTCCTTAAGAACCCACTCTCTCATATTTCAACTAATAATCTTCATAAAAAACTCTTATCACCCTTCCTAAACAAACCCCTATCATAGTTAACACCACACTGTAAACTTTTTAGTTCCCTCAACCCTTATTTTTCCACTCAAATTTCACTCCCACCTTTTTCTTGCGTTTTCTTTTATTATGAACTAACGAAAAATCCATTTTTTTTTTTAAATTTCTTTAAAATTGATCATTTCTCCTCATCTAACCGTTAAAAATCTCCTCCCCATTGGTATCAACCTCCCAGACATGTGGAACAAAGGAATCACTTTCTTGAAGCAGGCACTCACGTCTTTGGATAAGCTGAACTCTAGAGTCCCTTAGAACTAAACCACCTATAACATATTTGCTCCTATTGCACATCAATAGATCACACTCCACCTTCTGTTCCACTAAGAAGCCAGAACTGATTAGTTTCCCCAAAGCAATAGAGCCATTAATAGCAGAGAGTGACAAAGACTTCCCCTCTTGATTACTTAGACTAGTCATATTCTCCCTCGAGAATAAAGGAAAAATAGAATGACAATTCTCACAACCCCTATCACTCTCACCTCCCAGTTGCCAAAAAGATGATTTAATTGAGCAGAAGGAAAAACGTTGGACAGCAATTTAGGAAGACTTACATGTTGACATGCCTCAGAATTAGCAACCCCACAAAGATCAATGACCCCTCTATTTGTTAGCTTTGTCCCTTCCCTCTGTAATTTCAAAAAACCCACCCAAATCACAATCTAATGCTACAACATTTTGATTGTCTTCAGTTCATCCTTCAATAAGCTTTCTTCTGATCTGTCCCAGTCACCAGTAAATTCTTCACTACCCCTTTTAAACATATTGTCCTCACCGAAAAAATTTTGTTCCACATTCAATTGATCTCCATGTCAAATATCAACTAGCACTTCAAACTCATCCAGCATTTCACAGAGAATATAGTTCATTTCCCTCTTTACTTTTGTAACCCTTTCTTGATCTCATTTCTTCGATTTTTCCCATCGCTAGCTTTGAGTTCTTTTCCTCGGTGAGATCGCCTTCACTGAGATCGTCTACGTCGGACGCCAAATTCTCCCTAATTGTTGATAAATTAGCTTCTGGGTCAAAAGACTTGGATCAAAGCTTGGATTGGGGCCTTTTTAACCCGGAATTGATCTAGGCTTTTTGTTTTACAATGGCCTAATTTTACGAGCTTCTAACCTTAACTTTTATTGGAATCTGTAAATGCCCAAATGTCACCTTGCCCTTACCCAAATTAACCCTCATAAGCCTATTATCATCAAAGCCCATATTAGGACTATAACCCACTTGTTTCCACAATTTATTAGTCCCTTAATCATCTCAACTTCATTACTAGCTCCTCTATTGTCTCTTTTGTCTTCATTTTTAAACTTTGAATTACCCACCATCAAATCTTGATTAACATTAATTGATCCCTTACTTATTGCCCCCTTTTCCTCAATAAATATCCTTTTTTCCATAGTGTTGTATGGAGATTATGTGCTATCTCCTCCATCTCATAGTAATTTGAAAAAACCCTAGCCACCTCATCATCTTCTACCTCCATCCTAGTGTACCGATTTCTTGTACTACTATACAACCTTAGGAACCTCTGTTGATCAATAATCTACTCTCCAAGCCTCGACAAAGCCCTAATTCAAATTTGATAACACTTTCCTTGGAATTCCACATTGAATAATGCAGGAATTACACCTTTTTCGCATCTACCCATCCTTATTTTTGCTTGGAACAAATTTTGAAGTGACAATATTTTGATCCACCTCCTTCAATCCACCGCACTAATCCCCAATATTCCTACTGACTTCTTCTTCCCACAAATGAAAGGGTAATCCTTCAATACTAATCCACCCATCCAAAAACTAGACCATTTCTTTTCTTGCATTGAACTTAGGATTCCACCAATATAAACTCAATCTCCTTGTTTTCTATGTAACTACTTTCTTTCTCCGTACATACCTCATCTGCATCCATATATTGCTCACAAAAAATTATGGCCTTGTTCACACGATATGGTTTCGGTACAAAATTATGCTTAAACTTATTTATCCAACGCCATGGATAGACAATGCTATTCCTAGAACATTCAATAGATTTATTCCATTTATCAAAACCAAAGGATTCTTGCATTTTAACTTCATTGCTCACCCCTATTTCCTCTCTATCCATAACAAGGTTCCCTCCACCATCCTCAAATGATTTCTCTCTCCTACCATTTTTTATAAAACCTTCCAACATACTTAGAAACCTCCTCTATCCAATAAAATCAACACCTTCAGGGACAGTAATAAAACTTCTTTTACTGGTGGAATTTATCCTAGATATCGTAAGAAATCTACCATACCTATTAGAATTAAGTTCCAACCAGACTTAATATGTTTTTCCATTGAACTTCCTGAAAAACACATCTAAACTTTTCCATGCCCACGCCTCCTTAACGACTTAACCACTTTGCACAACTAAATGACACCTCTCAACCCAATCGCTAAAGAGAAACTAGCATAACGTGCTATTTTTGTGCTATTGATCTTATCCCCCTTTGATTTTTCATCAACCTCAACTAGGAACACTTTTTGCTCAATCTTCACATCATTTTTAAAATGCTTGAAACTTTTGGTAACACTGTCCATGCTCACGCCAATTTTCTTCTTCCCCTTCCCTTGATAGTCTAATCGTTGAACAATTTTAGGAAGAGCGATCTTCAGTTCTCTCCGTCTCTCTGATTAGGAATACATTTTACTACTAGTTCTACGTTATCAAACAAACTTAGTGTAACAATCACTTATTCTTTTAATTGTGAGTGTTGAATTGAGTTATCAAACAGCCCCTAATAAAGGCTTCTGATCAAGAATGGGGTTAAGGACTCAATTACCGACATCAATAGAATTGTAGAAGTCTCATAACCAATATGTTTCATGAAGGATGCAACCCTAGTAGGAAGAGAAATATTCCTTAGTGAAAATAAAAACCATTTAGTCTTTACTCCTTAGAATGTCTCAACTAATCTCAACCACAAGCTATAAATACGTGGCAGAACATATAGTAAAACACATAAGCAAGGACCCAATCATCCTACTAGAATTCATCCCTAGAATAAATATGTACAAGTAAACAAATTACCAATTGCAAGAGCTATGAACTTGCATTCTTTGTTTGTCACTCTTGCTTAATATAGACATTTCGACAAAAATTACAAATTCGAAACAGAAAAACTGATTAAAAAAGACAAAGACATCCGCAAATCATGAATTTAGCAAGTAGGCAGAGAAACAAATCGAATACAATAGTAGGCAACTCATAAATCAGACAGTCCAACGATAAGCAACTCATAAATCAAATAATCCATACCTGCAAAAAGTCACATATAACAGAAACAAAGTCACGAAGCTTTTGCATAAAGATGAACTTCTCACCAGCAGCAGATAGAGAATTTTCAAGAGTGGTGACATTCAACAGAGAGGCAGATAGATTTTCATCAGTCCTAGTCAAGGACGCCATGGTTCTGCCATGAGATTCCTGGTAAGAGAACATATAGAAAAACAGCATTATAACAATGAAATGCATATTCCCCCATCAATTTTCCTGAATTCTAGAAATATGATAGAAAACTAATGTCCAGAATAAGAAACTTAGGAAAAAACTGACTTAGCATCAATTGCTAAAAAAGCATATAATTTCATATTATATAGGATGGTTGGCTACTGCTTATCCAACACAACGTAAAATTATAAGCGACCTTGATTGAATTAGGCAGATGGACACACATGTACATATTTTTTACTCCTTTTACTACCCTGCAGCAGTGGGAATTAAGAATAGGAACCAAATGAATCAAAAGATTCATGTCTGATTCAGGAAGGAATGGTGAAAGTATAGTTTGCTCCATCTATTCTCCATAAAATGTCTCATTCCTATACTACCATAGATACTGAATCCATCAACAAATTGAAATTGTTTAACCAGAACTGGTATCACCTTTATTTCCTAAACAAATTTTAAAAGAATGTACACCAGGTGCAAGAAACTGATTGGTGAAAAATAAGCGAACAAAAAGAAAACTGAATAGAATTAATCTACCCTTGAGAATAGAGCAACATCAAGAGTTGCTGGCAGCACAATCTGATACTAATTAGTAACAGATCGCGGGGGACAACTTTCACCCATAAAAACAACAGCATATACAAGTGCCTCAAAAATAAGGCTCCCAACCAAAAAAAAAAAAAAATTCCTAAAATCACTTACAGTCATAGATCTATGAAAAAACTTTGCAAAGCATAGTAAACCTCATCCAAAAGTGAAATATTTCGTAAAAGCTTTTACATTCACGAGCATGTGTGATGTGATATGGCATGTGTTACGGCAAAATACCTCTTGTGTCTTAAATTTATAAACTTAGAGAAGCATAATGAGATCACAGAAGCCAAATGTGTGATGTTAGTTAACAAGCGTAACAGCACAACTCTTTTCATGGCCTAATCCTATACTATTTTATAGCATCATGACCATTGCACTTTTTCCATACCACCTCATAAAGTACTTGTTCTAAATTCAACCCTCGCTCTATTCCTTTTCAAGTGCCATAATTTCCTTATTAAAAATTTGTTTGCTTATTTATGACCTTCCTCATACACAATATAAATAAAAGATGACCTAAAGGAAGAGAAGTAATAGGAAAATGATGGGTTTTTTCACATGTAAGTCAAGCCATTTAACAGATTGGTCATAAAGTTTCATTACAACAAGAAATCGCTCTTAATTTGGTATCACACTCCATCCAAAATCTTGTACAACAAATGCCAATTATAATTTCATGATTTGTCTTAAGAACAAGGAAAGATACCTTAAGCCTCCTCACGTTCTCAAGCATGGCTTTCTTAGCAATCTCAGCTTGCTGTGGTATGGATATCACATCCAAATTTGGCATCGCCCCAACTGCTCCCCCAATGCTTGGAACGGCAGCAGCATTAGGAACCGAAGAATAAGCAGCTACCCCAGTTGAGTACCCCAATTTCTGTTGCTGGACAATCTGACTCTGAACCACATCAACACTACTGCTCACCCCTCTACTAGACCCATCATCCATTCTCTTCCCCAACCCCTTCCTAAACTGCTCTTCTTCCCAAATTTTATCCTCTTCATCACCACTATCCACTTCACCATCTTTCCTAAACCCTCCATCCATTGCCATTGCCATTGCCACTGCCCTTTCATCCACATCCTCAAACACACCCACGCCCTTTTTCCCACTATCAATCTTCTCCCCAAAAAACCCAATCCTCATTTGAAATTCTGGCTCCTCATCACTCAATCCTTCTCTCTCCCCGTGATTACTCCCTCCATCCAATGCTATAAAATCTGGTGCCGCAGCCCTGGATTGCCTCAGCCTCTCCCTCTTAGCCCGTATCGCAGCTATCGTTGCCTGATCCAGAATCAAGTCTTCACCTTTCCCTAACCCCATTGAACCCAGCCGGGTTATCGCATCATCTTTCTCTCTCCCGGACAAACCCTCCTTTCTCTCAATACCTACTTCGTCATCCTCCAAATCTTGAATTATTTCCACTTTTTCGCCATCTTGGTCTTTCTCAGTTGCAGGTTTCACGAGCCCTTTCAAGACAATAACCGGTTCGGAGGCCGGTTTAGGAGGGGGACGTGAAGAGGCAAGCGTTCTAGTGTTCTTTTGAAGTTCAAGCAGGGCTTCTTTGGTGTAAGTACCGGCTTGGGGTTGGACATTCGATGGGAGAGACGAAGAAGATGGGGCAATTCGGTCTTTTGCAGCGGTGAGCTTGTGTGAGGAAGAGGATGAAACGGATTTGGCGAATCGAGAAGAGGAGGAGGAGGGTTTGGAGGAGGGGCGAGTAATGGGTGATGATTCGGTTTCTTCGTCGTCGGCAAAGCTTAGGAGATTTTTGGGGGCTTGACTGGGTGGTTTTTTGGGTTTGGAGGCGGCGGTTTTGGTGCTGGGTTTTGATTGGGGTTTGTTGGTGGAGGTGCTGGTTGTGGTTGTGTTGTCGTTATCTTCATCGGTGTCGTCGCTGCGACGACGGAAGTTTCTGGCTCTGTTGTACATGCTCGGTGGCTGTGGTGGAGATACCCCCGCGGAGGGGGTGGCGGTTCGAGAGACGGAGTGCGGTGGTTGTTCTGCTCAGAGATGGACTTGTGTGTTTGGCCAGTTGTTTTTCAAGTCCCGGGCGAATTGCATTGGGGAAGCTAATAACAAAGCAGAGTACGTAAGGTAAATTATAATTACGTCCCCAATAGATTAGATTAATTATACAGATATCCTTTTTATTATCTGAAATACCACTAACCTCCTCTATCAGATTTTGTCAGGTAACGACGTTGACGAAAATTATACTATCGCGAATTTTAAGACCGAAATACTACTTTACGAATGACCTCCCCTTTCGCCTGTGCTTCTTCTCTTCTTACTCAAAAAATCACCATCGCTCACACGCAGCTAACTGAGGCCAACTGAGGTAAAATTCTTAATTGAGACCTTTCTAATTATTACTATAATAATATTAAAAATATTTGCCCAGTTCTTTAAATATGAAAATATATTCATTTAAATATTTAATTTTGGGATCTTATAATAGAATCAGACTTAATTAAACATTTATCTAAAAAACAGGCTTTGAGAACAAATTTAGACTTAATTGAAACTAAATCTTAAAATTCTAAAAATAAATTAAACTTAATCAAAAATGAATTTAAAATTTTTTGGGGCCTTCAAAGTTTGGGACCCTAGACGACGGATTCACCTGCCCAGTCATTGGGTCAACCTTGATCATGAGACTATAACCCGTCACCCAATTCATTACACCACATACTTTTCTCACTCTCACTCTCTCTCTCTCTCTATATATATATATGTATGAACTCGTGTGTGAAACATTTCTTCTTTTCCCTCCTCTATGTATTTCTCGTCTTACTCATCACTAGTCTCTAACAAATCATGCACTTCACAACCACCGTAACTCCCGACACCCACCTTAAATCACATAGAGCAGGAATGCAAAAAGTGACAAAATTTTAAAATTTATAAAGATATGAGAGCCATGAAAATAAGCTCTTTTATTTTTTGAGAATGAACCTTAATAGTACGTACCACAAATTGTCAAAGGGAATGAAAATAATTTGTTGGTTTAGGAAGAGAAATGCATAGACAGGCAAAGTAATTGTTGGGTTTGAGGGTATACGAGCCGAGAGAAATAGAGAATAATTTGTTGGGTTTGGGAAAATAGACGCAAAGGGAGAAGTATTTTTTTTTTTAATTATATATGTTTTATATATATTTTTTTGAATATCCTTAATTGGGGCCGTTGTAATAATTTATGAAAAAAAATATTAATTGGGTCAAATAAGATGGTTACTAGAACCAAAAAAAAAATTATATAAAATCTCTTAAAATTATTAAACTAAAATTAATTTCTTAGAGTATTGGTATGATTTGTTAAAACTTCGTTTGGTTAAAAAATTATGAAATATATAAAAAAAATAGGTAAAATATAAAATTCATAAGAAAATTAAATATTATAGAATATTACTGTTATTTGTGTCAAATCTATAATATTATATATGACAAATTTCAATAAATTTATTCGACGGTCTCACATAGACCCATCTAACGCCCTCCAACATTTTTTTAAAATCATTCACATTGAATTTTTATCCTTTAAAATTCGTAACTTCTCACTTACGTTGCACCGTACATTTAGGCACGGTTTATCCCTACTAATATATCAAAATACAACTAATGACAAAATTTAGGGCCTTTTAATGTAATTTATCTTTAAACAAATCTAGGGCAAGTCAACCAGTAAGGATCTGTTTGGTGCATGAGTATGAATAAGATTCACATGATAGATTTTATACACATAATTAAAAGGTAATGTTATTAAGATTTAATTTATTGACCTAATTTATTATGACTGTTAGTTATATTATTAAATATTAAAATTTAGTATTAATTCAATAATTTAAATAAAATCACATAATTAAATTATTAAATTATATCAAAATTTTAAATTCAAATAGAACATTACTCTACAAATGCACATTCTACGCTCATGTTTGATTCAAGATTTAAGACTTTGAGATTTGAATATCAGCGTGCTAGCAACAATAGATTAAGACCTACAAATAAAGTTTGATGAAACCCAAGCGGGTGCCTTTTAAATACGAGAGATTAATTTATAGATAAAAAACACTATTTTAACAAAAAAAACAAATAATATATTATTCACAATATAATAAATATTTTAATCAATTGAATATTTATATATAATTTAATAGAAATTCACTAATTATATATATTTATGTCATTTACAATTTAAATGAGTGATAAATAAAAGGGTTAATTTTATTTTGCACCCCAAAAGATCGTTGAAATCTGAATTTGTACCTCTAAATATCAAAAATTTCAATTTGCACCCTTAAAGATATAAATTTGTATCAATGTGCACCTCCAAAGATAAAAAATCTCAATTTACACCCTCAAAGATAGAAATCTGTATCAATGTGCACCTAAAATTAAATTGATAAATTATACCTAGATTCCCTCATGTTTGTCACTTAATCATTTGAACCCTTAACATTTAGAAAATTACCCCTACATCTCATGACGTTTGTACATGTGTAACATATAATCACTTTTCGTTGATATCTGTTAATATAATCGTTAAAAAATATATGATTTTATCATAATAAAAAATTATAATTTCATATTACCTTTTATTTTGTGGATTCGATAAACTCTAAAGTTCAAAATTAAGCTTAGAATTTGAATGTCTAATAGAACGTAGATATTTATATAAAGGAAAATACGAAAAATATTATATAAATATCTACAATTTATTAGACATTCAAACAATAAGCTTGATTTTGAATTTTAGAGTATATTGGACCTATAAAATAAGGGTAATATGAAATTATATTTTTTTATTAGGATAAAATTATATTTTTTAACGGTTATATTAATAGATATCAATGAAAATGGGTTACATGTTGTACGTGCACAAATATCATGAGATGTAAGAGTAATATTCTAAATGTAAAGAAGTCCAAATAATTAAGTGACAATCACGAGGGGATTTAGGTATAATTTATCAATTTAGTTTTAGGTGCATAATGATACAAATTTATACATTTGAGAGTGTAAATTGAGATTTTTGATTTTTGGGGGATCACATTGATATAAATTTCTATCTTTGAGGATATAAATTAAAATTTTTACTCTTTAAAGGTACAAATTAAAATTCGAATGATCTTTCAAGACGTAAAATGAGATTAACGCTAAATAAAATCCAATCCACCTCATAAAGAGCACAATAATCTGACGCGACACCACCCCATGTTCATAGTACTTTCGGTTTTTTATTTCCCTCCTCGTCACATCGGTCAAGAACAAAAACACCTTTTTTTTCAAAATTTAAAATCAATCCACAAACTGGCGCCGTAAAAGACTACAAAATGGGCATCATCAGTAAATACCCACAGAAGGGGAAGGAGGACTGAAGGAGAGACATATATGGTTTTGATCCTTTGATCACATCACTATCCATGGCTGGGTAATCGCTCCTGTCTCTCTATCTCTATCGTTCTATATACTTATGTCTGTGCGTATTTTACTATTTATACAATGCTAAAGAGCCTCTGATGTGTGTATTATATACAGAAGTTGCAATCTCTCAGTATTGGTTGAACGTTTGACGCAACGTTGACTTGGGTTCTATGGATATGACGAAATGATGAACTAATGTCCCTTTTTTTGGGTTCTTTGGTTAGGTTTTGTAGCTTAAATGGACATTTCTTTCAGATTCTATGTTCACGACTCGTGTTAATAAGATGGTTGGCTTGATCGGAAATTATTTGTAATTAAATAGTCCTAATGTTAATCCTTTTGATTGCGGTTGAGGTTTTTGATGCAATAATTGGTGCTCTTGAATACTCAGTTGTGCAATACCATATTGGGTGGATATAATCTGTCATGATCATGAAAATGGCTTCGTGGTTTTGATTGTTAACACAAAAGGCCCATCATTTTAGCCACAGAACAGTGCTAAAGCCCTGTTCTTATGCTGCCCATCATCAAAGTTTGTGCTGAATTGTGCAGGTGAATGTGTCCCACACTTGTCCTACATCAATTTTGCATCAATGCTGGATAATCCTACCTTTGTCCAAACGATTTATTTTTCTTTTGTTCAGCCACCATGATTAGTAACAAAGACCTTACATATATGTTTGGAGATTTCTCAAAATATTTCAAATTTCGAAGAGATGAATGTTGGAGGAATCTCCTGAAATATTTGTTTGTGGCTATGATAAACTCACCATTGAAGCTGCCTGTGCTCAAGAAATAGAATCTTTGGATTCTTCTCCAAAAATTTGCTTTCAGCCCCTTACCATATTAAGAAGGGTAATAAAAAATGTTGTATTCTTGCTATGTGTTGGTTTAAGATCACTAACAAGAAATGTGACAGAATGATTGTTAGCAGTCACTATGTGTTTCTGGTCATGTTTGGTGTTTGTTGCAGGCCATATAATTCCTTATTGAGAGGGGGCATGTGAATGAATCCTTACTTGATATAGTTTTTTGGCAATCTTCTCATTTCCAGCTTGGCATTGGTTTTTCTCCACAGTTGTTTTCCATGGGCTCCTGGTATTTATAAGTCCGAGTAAAGGATTCAATCTAGATCTCTTGGAGATAAAATATGTTTATAAGTACTCCCCATATTGTAGTTAGATCAGTTCATCTTCATGACTATAGTTATCCTCTTTTGACTATGCAGACCATCATGGTTGGTTGACAGTAATAGAATTGCGACAAAAATCAGGAGTGCATCTGCTGCATGTGATCCTGGAAGAGTCAATTGGACAAGCAACCCAAGCAAAAGTTGCCCAAATTGCCAACATATTATTGATAATAGTGATGTATGATTCCTCTCTTAGGTCTTCTGACATCACTCCAAATTAGTTGACTGTTTCTAATTGGAGCATGTGTTTCACTAAAAATATGAATCATGGCACGCATTCTTGGCTAACATGCATGAAGTTAGATTATGATGAAATGATGCCTTGTCTTTACATGCTCTTGTTTTCTTCTTTCCATGGAAAGCATACTTTGTCTATCATATTGTTGTTCCACTGATAATTGTTTT